TTTTAGAATTAATTACTTTATTTCCGATGCAAAGACCTTATAAGTGAATCAATATTAATACAAAAATGTCATCTTTAATGATTCCTCATGAGGTTTTTGATTATGTGATTACTTGGCCGTTTTTTTTAGTGATTATTTGATTACTAGACCAAATATTTCATGATTATTTGATTATCTAGGACTGTATTTTAGATTAATTGATTACCAAGTTTAAACAATAAATTTGTGTGTATAGCATACATACAAAATTTGGCTTGAAAGACGTTATTTTTTTTCGCCTCGCTCCGCTCGGTAAAATTGTTAAGAATTAAGTCCGAAGATTGAACGCGTTTGTCCAGTTAAATTAGTCTTATTAAAATTCATAAAAAAAGTTTTATAAGTATAACGAAATCAGAGATATATCTTTTAATTAGATTGGTTCGTCTAATTTAGTATTTTTATCTAAAGTAAATTTACTAACTTCTTTAATAAAGGATTTGAACAAGAATGTGTCCATATATAGTACATGAATGCCCCACTCACACTATCATTTTCTATGTCCAGTGGACCGTAAATTGCGGTCAGAACTCTTAATTTGGCATTAAAATTAGAAAGATCATATCATATGGAACATGTGTACTGAGTTTCAAGTTGATTGGACTTCAACTTCATCAAAAACTACTTTGACCAAAAACATTGACCTGAAGCGGAACAGACGGATGAACGGAAGAACAAACGGACGCACAGACCGAAAAACATAATGCCTATAAATGGGACATACATTCACAAAATGTGCTGAAATTGAATGAAGGTCTTGTAAACCTCAATTAGACCATAACAGGCATATCCAAATAAAGTTCCCTGAAGTCACAAACAACTTCCCTCACTTGTAGATCTATTTCCACTACTTCTGCAATATTGTATTTATCAATAATAATATAAATAGAAATTGTATGCATGTAAATTTAAAACGATCAGGGTAAACTTATCAATCCTTTAAATAAACTTATTTTAAAAGGTTACCAATTGAACACTGTAAATAGATCTTTGAATATTGTTTTTATTGGTATAAATATTAATTTTGTTATCAGTAACTTGAAATTATACTACATATTATTGTTATACACATCAAGGTACTACAATCTGTTGATACCTATGATTTGGCATTGCACAAGGTCATGTCTTTCTCTGACTGTAAATGACGTCTTTACACTAAATCCATTGGATGTTGGATGTGTACTGATTAATATTTTAGTCTTAGATACATGATTTTTGTATTAGTTGTTATTGGCTTTAAACTAGCTGTCAGTACTGCGATTACTCTCAGATCTGTACTTTGTGTCCTTTTTTGTTTGTTAAGGATGTATAAATACCCTGCCACGTCCGGTCTGTGCTTTTGTTAGATGTTTTTTTCTGTTTTGTATCGATCTGATATGTTAAGCCCTTTTCAACTGATTTTTATAGTTTGTTCTTATGTTGTTCTGTAACAAAAATTGTCCCAGGATAACGGGTGGGTTGAGTGCTCACTTGCATGTTTAACCCCACCACATACTGTATGTGCCTGTCCCAAGTTAGGAGCCTGTAGTTCAATGGTTGTCGTTTGTTGATGTCTGTCATATTTGTTTTTCGTTTTATTGTGTTATAAATTAGGCCGTTTTTTCTCAACTGAACTGTTTCATATTTTTCATGTCAGAGCCTTTCATAGCCGACTATACCCTACTGTTTTTTTTCTCATTGTTGAAGGAGGTACGGTTGCCTATATATAATTGCTTACATCCACTTCATTTGAACTTTGGGGATAGTTGTCACATTGGCAATCATACCGGGGGGAGGGGAGGGGGGTGGAATTTGTATTTCTTAGGAAAGTTCCAATGTTTTCCTCCCAGGTCACCCAGTTTTAATTGGATATTTTCTCATTTTGCTGTGCCCTTGGGTTTGTGTTTAAGGCCAACCAGAGCTTACTGCCTGTTGGTGGGTAGTTGAGACCATATGGTAAGCTCTATGTGTCTTTTTGTGTATTGTATATGGTGATTTGGTGATGTCTTCATGCTTTGTCCCATTACTTTATATAGACAGCTTATCAGTCAACCATATCTATCAAAGACGACAAATGATGGCCAAAGCTCTCCTGGCCTTTTGTATAGTCAGGCGAGAAACAAGATATAAACGGACTTGGCTTGGTATAAACATGTATATTTAGTAAATTCGTATAAATTCAAGTCAAATTAATATTTCAAAACAACATAAAAATATAAAAGTGTAAAAAAAAAATTTTTTTTAATAAATCTTGAAAATATTATTGTGTTTGTGTGTGGCCATGGATAAAGGCATGTTTTTCAGTCTGGGTTAAAAAAAAATATTGACTTCGGGTACAAATCCCTGCCCCACCCCAGAGAATCAAATGGTTGCTTCCTTGGGAACAATAGAGATTGAAGATGTTGAGAATGAAGATCAGGTAATAATTTTATGTTCTGCGGCGACGTTAAAGGAACACCAATCAGTCAATCGATCTTTATGACTATGGATTCAGTTGTGTAATATTCCTTGTTGTAAAAGTTCCTTTTCTGCTATGTGTAGACTTATTAAGACTTGGAATAGATCTACGACGACTAATGAACGGTCGTGTATGGTTTGTCAATTTTACATGCCTACCGATAATAAAATTGACAATGACAAATAAAAAGCTGACATGGGTGAGATTAAAGCTAGAAATCCCAATTTCCCAATTCACTTAAAAAGACCATATATAGATATAAGAAGATGTGGTATGAGTGCCAATGAGACATTTCTCCATCCAAGTCACAATTTGTAAAAGAAAAACCATTGTAGGCCAAAGTACGATCTTCAACACGGAGCCTTGACTCACACCGAACAGCAAGCTACAAAGGGCCCCAAAATGACCAGTGCAAAACCATTCAAACGGGAAAACTATGCAACGGTATAATCTATATAATAAACAAGAAACGAGAACACTTATGAACCACATCAACAAACGGCAACTACTGAACATCAGGTTCCTGACTTAGAACAGGTGCAAACAAATGCAGCGGGTTTAAACGTTTTAATAGGTACCAAATTCACTCTTATCCGAAACAATAATGTAACATATGACCTTTAATATTGAAGGGCTAAACTTGCATTGAGCCGTGTTTAGGCCCATAAAGAGATGTGCATGGGACAAAATCGCACACAATACATAGAAAAAATACAAATTATCAATAAACAGGGCTTTTATTCCTGTTCTTCATCTTGAAAGTAGCTGGAGGGTCTTCAACGAGGAAAAGAACCATTCATACCCTGAAAACAACAGCCACACACTTGGCTATGTGGATTACAATGTTTTACTTTATCCTACACCCTGGATTTTTTCTCCAGAAGACCTCAGGTACCCAGCTTCCCTTTGCACCTAGTGCGGACAAAAGTATTGCCGTAGATTTTTTTTATTAACTTTTCGGTAATGGTGTGGTAGGGTGGGTAGCTGAGGTCTACTTGAGAAAAAATCCAGAGTGATGTTCGGCTTAGTCTTTTTTTATAATGTAATAAGCTGGCAAATTATGAAAGCTCACGTCTTAATTGATAGGCATAGAAATAAAAAGAAAACGTATGAAAACCAATAACATTCTACCGGACACAAAATAACGTTGGTTTAGGCAACTAGTATGATGGTCTGGATGAGTATTTCTTCATTTCTGTATTCTTTGATATTCTATTCCATTTTTCTCTATTCTTTAATAAGTGTTTCAGGCCATTTTTCTCTATTCTTTATCATGTTTATTTCTTTATACTTTTTGCCAATTATTCTATTCTTTTTATATTTTAACACCTCATTATTTTATTTTTTTTTATTTCTTGGTCCATTGTCTCTATTATTTATATTTTTTGCCCACTATTCTCTATTCCGTAAACCCCCATCCACACCCAGGCTCTAGTTAAGGTCACCATATAGCTTTCAAAAATAAGCAAAACTAATACCGAGTAGGCTCCGAATGGCAAAATGATTGAATGCTGATCCCGGTTTGAATTGTGAAATTGCGGAAATTTGTTTTTCAATCAACTGATCAAGCAAAACACATTATCGTCCTGAATGTTCGTAAAATGGACCTTGGTTATGAATTCTAATCATCTGAGATCAACCTTTCTAAATTTAAAAGTAAAGATCATGCACCCTTATTGTTCAGATTGATAGAGTCTTTTGCATCCGTCGACATTATCTTCGATTAAAGATCTGATAACCACAGTGACTGTGCATGTATACTTTAACGACCGGGGTAGTTTTCTTATAAGTTTTTAAAAGTAGTAATCTCCCTTGTTAATGTGATGTTGTAATCAATCTATTTATTTGTACCATCTTTATATTATATTATATTGTACAATTTAAATTTATGATTCGTTTAATATTTAAAATTATAATTTATTTTTTATTAAAGATATGAACAAGGTAATTTGAAAGGCTTTGATTCATTTATCACCGTAGTTCAATTCATAAGTCAGGCGGTCTATTTTGTCTACATTATGTTGAAAGAACACCGGGGTGTTTACAATGGCATTATTTACTATCAATGACTGTGAAACAAGAAAGGAAAACATTGTACATTATAAAACGAGAAATAATTAAAATTAAATACAAAATTCTTGTTTAGTGAAATCAAAAACGAAAAACGGAAACACTTTTGATTTTCATTTTGGTTTAAGAGAAATCAAAAACAAAAAATGAAAACACTTTCGTTTTCCGTTTTGGTTTTAGAGAAATCAAAAACGAAAAATGAAAACACTCTTGTTTTTCGTTTTGGTTTTTGAGATATCAAAAACGAAAAATGAAAACACTCTCGTTTTTTGTTTTTTGTTTTTGATATTTCAAAATGAAAAACGAATGGACGCAAATATACACGGACCTAATACACAATATGTAGGGTATCATAAAGTCTCGATAAAACATACGCAATTGACACATACATGTAGCTTTAAAAAAAAAACCAAAAAATAATTTTCTTGTAAAAAAAAAATACTAGAATCTAAATTACCTCTTGTAAGCAAATGACATCACTACCTAAGTTTTTTAGGGCGGGAACCAATAATTGTCGTCTGTCTTCATAATACTTTACAGTACTCGGTTGTAGTCCGGCGTTAAAAGTGACCAGTTTCTTTATAGGACACTGTTCATGAGAACCGTACACAAGTGAGAGTAGACAGCTAAAGACCAAATGTTGATTATGGACACCCATGATTTGAGCTATTAATAACAAAAAAGTACTAGATTATTGTAGAAATTGACATTTTCCTTTAAAATGTATTTTGGCAGGAACATGAACGACAGAAAAAAAACCTGCTACGAATTTAATCAACTATCATTTTGATTTTTATCACAATATTATGTACCATGTATAAAATGACATTCAATGGTTACGAAAGTGTAAAAGATGTTTGAAATGGAATGAGCGGAATTAATGAATTTCATGTATATTTACACATATCTTTATTTAATTAGATCAACATGATATTTCAAAATACATGTACGTTTACGCTACAAGAAAGTATATATCATTTTCAAAAGATCATATGACTTACTCTGACACCCCTTTTTTTCCCTCTGTAAACTAGAAATAAAACATGAAAAATCGGATACTGTAAAAAACAAAATATAACTTACGAGGTTTAACATATGATGATGGTTTATCCAACAATAACAAGTGAACTACTGTAGTAACCGGCTTTGCACGTGTTATTTACATAAAATGTATGTTTCATTTACTTTGATTCGTCGAATCCTATATAGATTTTATAATAACGCTATTAAATACATTAGCGAACGTACAACTTCATGAAACGAAATTATCCTGCTTAATGAATAAAGGGTTCACGACCACAGATGTCGTTATACACCGTAGTTAAGATACACAAATTTAATAATGTAGTTCACCACTGGTATAAACCACTTTATTAACTGACTTTGTGTAAAAAAAAGTTTCAAAAATAAACCACTCTACAAATTGGGCCGCTTACGAACTTTTGACATGTTCGCCTTGTTAATCTTTCAAGAATATCGACATCAAAAATCTTTAAAAGTACAGTTAAACATCATAAAGATGAAATTCATCGAAGCATTATAACTAGTAAATGTCGTTATAGTTTGCTAAAATCCACTGTGGAGGGTTTAATGGCGGATTTAAAAGTATTTTAGTCTTAATGTTTTCATCCTGATTTACATATGTTTGACTTTGTTTTTATCTTGTATTGATTATTCGTAGCAGGGTGCGTTCAATATCATAGCCGCTACGTAAGGCTACGTAGATTTTTACTACTGAACGTATGGCTATCCTCGCCGCTAAATAGATCTAGATAGCCTAAACAATTCATACAATTGTATCTACTGTGGATTCGCATGGCTGATGCATAGCAGCAGATGCTTACTCTGTCGACACATCCGGTCTCATGCATAGCAGAATACGGTGACTCTGTCGAAACATCCGGTCTCATGCATAGCAGAAGACGCTTACTCTGTCGACACATCTAATCTCATGCATAGCAGAAGACGCTTAATTTGTCGACACATCCGGTCTTTTTCACCTGTCCATTTGACAAAATACATGTATGTGCTTAGAAATTGTCAACTGACACATCACTTTGATTTATAAAATTAACCACGGTATATCTAATTCTCATTCTTATATTTTCAACCAATATTAATTCACTTAGAAAGGGTGTTTGGTTTTACATTTTAGCTCAACTCTCTTTTTTCCTTCATTCAAATTTAACTCACTAATACCAACACATAATATAATGGTACAGCGCACCCTGATAATTGAACTAAAGTACAAGACTTTATTTTATTAATGCGATTCCCAAAGTTTTAGGGCGGTTTTTTTAACCTTGATTTGCATTTTTTTTAAATGGATTTATGAAATTTGAACATTGGTACTATACTGATGCCTCTGTATCCGTAATAACTGACGTCGTTGGACATATTCCCATTAATGTGGTATCTTTGTCTCAGTATAAAGAGTATAGCAGATTTTGGAAATGAAAATTTTTAGAGAAGCTAGTGCGTTGGTCCATCATTCTTCATTGTTTCTTGACGAACTCTTTGTTGCGCGTAGGGCGTATAAACTGCTCACTAACTTTAATGATTACATAGATTCTAGATTTCAGTCTTAATTTTCACTAATATATATTAATGCTTGTATTTTTTTTTTCAATATTTATGATTGCGTTTTGAAATCTCGCCTTTTTGTCAGTACTTTCGGATGTGTATTTTTGATGTTGACTAAAATTATAAGAGACCAGTGGCAAATATTTCTTGCATATTAGGACAAAAAACAAATTAACACTAAATGTAGTGGGCAATCTCCACACAGTGGGTCGACCGGGATGAATTACGGGAAATATGGATTGTCCTTAGAAAGTAAGGGTACTACAAATGTATGCCGGATAATGAAGAAATTTGTCTTTGCAATAAGCTACCGATTAACCTATGAAAGAGTTGTTACAAGGGTTCTTTAGAATATAGTGGGTGTCGTTCTTTTACCAAACGAGGCATAAGATGTAACATCTCAATCCCAACCAAACGGGGCAGCGTATGTATACTTCCCACACAGTTAAATGGACGCCCTTTCCAAGCGGAACCATTTTTTTTTATATTTAGGAGTACACTCACGAGCTGCCAACTTCGCAGACACTCTCCATGTTCATGCCTCAACGTCTCATTTGGCTTGCTAAATTGACGTATGATTTTTTTCCGTTTTGATCTAGAGACTTATGTGTCTTTTCCATATATAACTGTAAAATATTGACTTCTCCATGTAGTTGAAATCAATATTTTGATTTATTCTTTTAGGAGCTGAGTTAAACAATAAAACTTATGTTGAAGTCATTCACTTGTGTAAATGTCTCTGCTTGATCCATGTAGACTGTTGGTGTTAACTGAATTGTATCAATATAAAATTTGGTTTTCCTATAAGGAGTGTTTCGATAAGACTCATAGATTGCCCCCGTTTCTAGCTAAAATTAAAAAATAGTATTCAATGGATATTATCATAGTGAATCAGAGTTACAGCATTGATTGGATAGAAAATAATTTTTGAAAATTTTTGGGCATACGATACAGAAAAGATTTCTCGTTGATTTTCCAATAAAATGTTGACACAAAGTCTATTTTGATATTTTCACATCGAAATATGCAGAGAAAAAGATACCCCCATGACTTACTTTTCGAGATATTTCTGCAAAAAATTTCATGTTTCATGTAAAACCACAAAATTTCATTTTTCAATCCTTTCCAAAACTGTAATACAACTTTTAAACAGAAAGAGATTTTTTCTTCCAGTTTTTTTGTAAAGTCTTCTTTAGTTTATAGGCTTTTAAGTAAGTAAAATGAAGGCTGACCGAGAATAAATGTTTGCAAAATCTAGCAATTTCGATATAACATTCTTGAAGCAGTACTTAGTCGATTGCAAAAGAAAATAAAATGCTTCGCTGGGCGCAGCTTGATACGACCGCAGAGGTCGAACCCTAAACAGTTGGGGCAAGTATGGACACAACATTCAAGCTTGATACAGCACTGAATTTGGATTGTGATTAAGTATTTGACACAGCATAGGTTTCTGACCCAGAATGAATGTGGTCTAAGAACTTAAAATTTTTTAATTTACCTTTTGAAACCATATCATTATTATTTGCTTTTATATATAAATCAGAAATAACCAATTTAAAATGGAAAATTTTAAAGAAAAAAAAAGGAAAAAAAAAATCCCCCCCACTTTTTTTTAACCCCCTTATGATTCATCACCCCCAAACTCAATCCCAGCCTTCCCTTTGTGGTATGGTATCTTACAGCACAATTTCAGAGAGATCCATACACTTGAACACAAGTTATTGTCTGGAAACGAGAAAAATGCTTGTTTTTTTGCCCCTTTTTGGCCCAAAATTCCTAAACGTTTAGGGCAATTACCCCAAAACTCAAACCCAGCTTTCCCTTTGTGATATGAAACCTTGTAGTACAATTTCATTAAGATCCATATACTTACAAACAAGTTATTGTCCTGAAACTAGAAAAATGCTTGTTTTTTGCCCCTTTTTTGCCCCTTTTTCCTAAAATTTTGAGCTAATTACCCCCAAAATCAAACCCAGCCTTCCCTTTGTGGTATGGTACCTTGCAGTACAATTTCAAAGAGATCCATACACTTGAACACAAGTTATTGTCAGAAAAATAGAAAAATGCTTATTTTTGGCCCCTTTTTGACCCCTTAATCCTAAACATTTTGGGCAATTACCCCCAAACACAACTCTAGCTTTCCCTTCGTATATGGAACCTTGTAGTACAATGTACAATTTCAGAAAGATCCATACACTTACACACAAGTTATTGTCATGAAACTAGAAAAATGCTTGTTTTTTTGTCCCTTTTTTGGCCCCAAATTCCTAAAATTTTGAGGCAATAACCCCCAAGATCAATCCCAGCATTCCCTTTGTGATATGGAACCTTGTGGTACAATGTCAGAGAGATCCATACTCTAACACACAAGTTATGCCTGGAAGTTACAAAAATGCTTATAACTGTTGGTACCATAACCCCCAAAATCAACCCCCACCTTCCTTTTGTGATATTGAACCTTATGGTAAAATTTCATAGAGATCCATTTACTTAAACTAAAATTAGAGTGCGAAACCCAATGTGTCTTCGGACGACGACGACGACGACGACGACGCCAACGTCATACCAATATACGACCACAAAAAAATTTTGCGGTCGTATAAAAATGGGGATCCATGTGCTCATTTTTTCAGTTTGAAATATGAATACTAATTTTTTCAATGTTGGCGATCCCATTTAATTTTTTTGACGCTAAATTGCGTCGCAGTGTATCTTTGTCAAAAAAACAAAATCTCTTATTTTGAAGGTAAATGTCAAGTTGCACGTTTCATTAGCAGAGATCGACAAACATCGTTCTATTTCTTGGAGTCAGTATTTTTTACATACTTTTTTGCTTTCTCAAATGTCGTCGTGTGAATGTTATAATGTAAGTCGCATTTTTCAAAGTGTTGGGAAATTGAACATGAAGTTTAAAAACGCGATATCATAAATATTTGACAGAAACATAAAAAGTTATGTAGGAATTGAATTAACAGACATGAGGAGTAACTCTTTGTTCAATTGTCGTTTAAATAGACAAGCACCTTAAATTAATAAAGCACTTTCTTTTCTGGAGATAGAACACTATACGACAACCA